TGAGCTATCAGTTGTTTAACATAATTTTGAAAAGGACTATTAACAGCATTCATAAACATTCTGGATAGAATTGTCTAGTAACTGATTTCTGGCTGAAAAGGGACCTTTAGGTGACATTAATGGAACCATTGCTTTCAAAAGAAGAGCACTCGGAGGCTCCAGTTGGTCCAGAATGCGGCCGCGCGGGTGGTTATGGGCGCAACCCATTGTGCCCACATGACACCCCTCCTGCGCGAGGTGCACTGGCTCCCAGTGGTCTTCTGGGTGCAATTCAAGGTGTTGGTTACCACCTTTAAAGTGCTCCATGGCATAGGACCCGTGTATCTTTGAGACCGACTTCTGCCACCAATAGCCTCCCACCGGCCAGTTTGCTCCCACAGAAAGGGTCACCTCAGGGGGCCATCAGCCAAGTTATGCCGGCTGGCGAAACCCAGGAGGAGGGCTTTTCTGTGGGAGCCCCTGCCCTGTGGAATGAACTGCCCCCAGATAATAATAATAATAATAATAATAATAATAATAATAATAATAATAATTATTATTATTATTATTATTATTATTATTATTATTATTATTATTATTATTATTATTATTATTATTATTATTTTATTTCTATACCGCCCTTCTCCCGAAGGACTCAGGGCGGTGTACAGCCTGTTTAAAAACACAAACAAAACAACAATATAAAATTTAAAATAATTAAATAAAGTGGCTCAGATTTGCATAAGATCTCCGACTTCCGTGTATTTCGCTGTGTCCGCAAGACCCTTTTGTTCCGCCAGGCCGGGCTATCAATGTAATGATTTTTAAATCGGGTGTTTTAAATTTTTGGGGTTTTAAATTTGAGCTGAAATTATTTAATAATTTTAATTATTTTTAACTGATGTCTGTCTTTGTGCTTTTAATAGGCTGTACACTTCCCTCAGTCCTTCAGGAGAAGGGTGGTATAGAAATTTATTTATTTATTTATTTATTTATTTATTTATTTATTTATTTATTTAAAAGACATATTAAATCTTGCCCAAATACTTAGGTTTTTTTCTCATTTAAAATGTGATGTCCCTTTTGCATTGACTGTGGGAAAGATAAAGGATCCAGCAAGTAGACTAGTTCTTTGGCATCTTTATGGATAAGCAGAGGGTAGCAGATCATTTACATGTGCTCCTGATTGCTATTCTTTGCCAGGAGACTTTAGAACAGCATTTTCCATGAGTCTGAATAATAATTTATTCCCACTGACTTCCAAGGCATGCTGATCTCTTTTTTAGGCTAGTCAAAAACATACAAACATACACAACTCAGAATCATACTTTCTCCTGAACAGAGATTGAGGTGGGTCTCACAAGTTTTATCCTGGGCCTCTTCTGTCAGAGCTCCTTCTTTTATCTTGAATCTTATTTTAACCTCTCTCCCCACAACTCTCTTTTAAATTTTCCTTTCCTGATATTATGTGTTCTCTGGCCACAATTTTGAATATTTCATTAATGTTGGAAGTTCAATAATTCTAATAGATTGTGGATTTTGGCAGTGGGAAAGGAAATCAGGGATTAGTTTTGGTTTTGGAAGAAACAACATCCTTCCATTTTTAAAACTGAAGTTTTGTTTTGTTCTTCCTTGTTCTTGGTCCACTAGATAAAGTTATTTTGTTCTACTAAATTCAATTATTTCATAAGAAAATTTAATGCACGAAATATACAAAAAATAAGATATGAAGGATTTGGGATTTAAAGTCTCATATGAGTCTATAATCATTATACAGTCTAGTACAAGTGGATTTAATAATTCAGCTTGTACTTTGATATTTTTTCAACATGTCTCTAATTTTCTAGAAGTCATTGCTAGAATCCTATTCTGCCAAAGGGCTAGAAAAAATAACTGCCCCTTTCAGTTCCTGCTTTAGTTGAATATTGAGTCATCCCATATTTTTTTGCAAGTAGACAGTGAAGATTCCAACTTTTGGGAAATGTTTAACTGTTGGTCAAATTGTTGTTCTAGCATATTTTCCATTATTTAATCATGATTTTTACACGATATACTGAAATGATGTTAATATGCCTTTCTCCTAGCTTTCTTCATTCCACATACGGATCTTTTGAAGATGCTTTTAAAAGCCATGAAAAAAATTAAATATTTTTTTCAAAGGAACATGAATATGGTTATAAAAAAACACACATACCCTTGGTAAAGTAGTTTCCACAATAATATACATACTTTTGATCATTGATATTTTTCTAATTTGTACAAATTCTATTCTGCTAGACTTTGAAGACATTTCAAAGTCAAACAGTTCAAACAATTCAAACAAAAATAACCTTTACAATAGAATGTAAAGAATAAGAAACAGCTGACAAAAATGATTTGGTACATAAAATATATTTTTACCTATTCAGAACAATAGCTCCAAGTTCATTGTTTGACCTGGTTCTTGAGTATCAGAATGCATGATTAAGTTCTCAAATGCTGGTGTCTATAATCAGCAGCATCCATGATGAAATGAAGAGAATGTCACAAATGCCATAATGCAATTGTGTAAAATAATTACACAATTGTGTATAACACTAGTACAAATTTATAAGACAAGACATTTGCAAACAGCAAAAAGCCAGGTTAAAGTTTTGCTTATATGACTCTGTTACTTTGCATGGGTATAAGTCACTCAGCTGCCCAAATTGTAATATAACCTATTGTTATATTATTAAAGATTACAATTGAATTACTGAAAATGGTTCCTGATTTAAACATTCATCAGATACAACATTAGTATTTTAAAAGTTCCTTATTAAATTACTTTAAACATATTATTTTAAATTACTATCTTAAATGAGATATACAATTGTCAAATAATATTCTTCACTTCTGACAAATATTATATTTTATTTGCTGTCTAACACACTATTCTACATCAAACTGCCTCATATCATGGATTTCCGTATTTTGTCTATATGGTTCTATCTCTCTGCACATGTGTACATATGGACAGTTGCAATCCTGTTGCATCTCTTTTAATTATTTCTTTGAAATATTTTGATTATTTCATGGTAAATTTCATTGTATGCTGTTTAATAATAATATACTTATCCCTCTTTTATAAATGTGGAAGTCATTTGGCCTCAAATGACAGTGGGACAGTGACATCTGAATCCAGAAGTCTGAACTGCACATAGCTTTTCTTCAGAGTAATGTGCTTCATATTGCAATCTTTGTCCAACTGCCACAACTTTGTAGTACCTGCAATTGGAACTGTATGTTTTACAAAGGGTAAGTCTACTTTGAGTGAAAACTAATCAATTGAGGGACTTTTAAAACAAACACAACAATCAAGATTCAAATGTAGTCATTGTTACAGATACATTAAGCATCTCCCCGACTCCACCATTCTGCCCTACTGTCTGTTTTAAACTCTATAGAAAGTTGCTATAAGGCCAATGTCTATATATTAGACATTAGAAAGGTTGTGTGTGTGTGTGTGTGTGTGTGTGTGTGTGTGTGTGTGTGTGTGTGTATATATATATATATATATGTAGGTCTTTGGTTATTCGGGTTGGCGACATTTCGACGAAGTCTCATTCGTCATCTTCAGGCTGGTGTTTTTGGCTTCATGCTTCTAGGAGCAATGTGTGATCGCAGCTGTTTCTTCCTTTTAACTGCCAGTGGGGGTGTGAACTGATTGGGTGGGAGCTTGGCTGTGTTCTGATTGGGTGGAGGTGTGTTCTGATTGGTTGGGGGTTTGGCTGTGCTCGGGTTAGTCTGAGTTGCAGGGGGATTTGAGCTGATGAGCTGAGTTGCTGTTGTTTGCACCCACGAAAACCTCAGAAAACACACACACACACACACACACACACACATATATTACACGTTAGAAAGTTGCTATAAGGCTTCATCCATTTTATATGCATTAATTAAAAAGAACAAAGGCTGTCTCCATTCTATTTTTTTATGAAGGGAAAGCCATACCATATATTTTATGGGAATCCATCTGGCAAGAACCAATTCAGTTCAGTGTAAAATTCCTGTTTCCTTAATGATGAACACTAATTAAAAGAGCAGCTGGCCATAAGCAAAGGCAGAACAGCCACACTGATGACTAACAAAATGTGGTTAGCAGCAGTTCAAAGAAACCCTCTTTATCAAATGACCATACCACAACAAGTAAACCATTTACTTGTTTTATATCAAGTACAAATGCTTCTTGATCTTTTTAAAGTACTTTATTTATCTTTATTTATTATGCTGTATGCTGCCCATCTTACCCAGATGTATGGACCTTGCATACTATAAACAGAGCAGAAAAGGACAAGATCAGTTCTTTTACATAAAATGCTGAATTGTCTCTTTATAAATTTTCCCAGACAGTGGTTCAGATTTTAAATGCAAGGCGACTCAAGTCCCATCAACTTAGCAGCTGCTGGCAATGTTTTTATTACTAGGAGAAGTAGAGAGAAACTCACACAATCTGATTTTGATCAATAAGTTTTAAACTTAGATACTGTTTTTCAATCTGTGCAACTGAAATATAAGAACAATCCATTTTGGTCACACTTACCTGTTTATAAAGTGAGTGGAGGGTACATGGAAATTATCCAATTTTAAATCATGCAATACCTTTTGAAATAATAATATGTGACAATAAAGCTTTGACAAAATGCTTTTAAAAAAGAGTCACAGAAAACTGCAAAGGAGGAGGCAGTTCTGGCTCAGACTACAAGGCTTTGAGCAATTTATGCTTAATTGTTTGCTGGCAATAGATATTACTCATCTTAAAATATATGCATTCATGCCCGACATGGTGACAAACATCTTTGTGCACAAGAGAAATCAGTTACACAACTTGCCATGATTACCTTCCCCTTGTAAGTATACTGGGAAGAAGAAAAGAATCAATATTACACAGAATGATGGCTCAAGCATGAATCAGCATGGCAAGCACATAACCCAACGGACATGGCGGTCAACAAGAGAAAAAGAATAAAAGAAATAAATCACAACAGAAATTATTGCTTAACCTGTTTTGTCAGAGTTGGTATTGATGGTATTGGTAGTGATGGAAGTGAAGATAGTCTTTGCGCTGTCCTTGGTAGTTACACATTTCTGCTTATTTTTCATGGCTTCCAGCGCTTTGAGCTTCTTGGCATGTTTAGTGCCTTTGTAGTGGGCCGCAGCCTGGCTCTACAAAGGAGAACAAAATGAACCATGCAATCAGGCTCATTTCTAAAATGGCATTCTCTGTATTAGTACAAATACAGACCACCTTTCAATAATGGGTACCATTTTCCATACCAAGATAATGACCAAACTGAAGTTTCTTCCCAAAATAATCCTTTGGAAACAGTGACACAGGAATATTATAGATTTTATGTAGACTATCTTGCTCTCTTAAAAATACACTCACTTTAAAAATACACTCAAAAAATTGGCAGCTGGGAATTTTTCCTCTCTAAGGAAAAATGCAATTCATTTTTCTTTCAAACTGGTTTTACATTAGATACACATTAACTGAAAATTTAATTTCAACTGCAGCCATGGAAAATATTTTTCATAGACACCAAGCAAGAAGAGGGGAATTGCAGCCATCTCTTTTTATGGAGAAGACAATCAGCATTTAATCAAAGGCTATTTTATAATGTCCAAAATTAAAGCCTATTGTTTTTCCTTCCCATTGCAATGGATCTGACCAATTCTTTGTGTTGAAAACTTCTGATGAAATTATTTGGATTAATTTGTTGAACTTTTGTGTTAATAAGTGTTCATAAAGTGAACACAAATGGCCATTTTAAATAGCAGTAATTAAACAATAGGGTGATCATATATTTTCTTCCTGAAGATTTAAAAATATTTTAAAAAAGAAAAGAACAAAATAAATCTATGCCTCTTGTTTATAGGAAAAATCATTGTACAGGTGATCCTCATTTAATAACTTTTCACTTAGTGACTGAATTTATGATAGGGCTAAACAAGTGGTAGTTATGATTAGACCCCTTGTTTATAGTTGTCACAGCATCCAGCAATCACGTGATTACAATTTATAACCTTTCCTTCCAGCTCCCCACAAGTAAATCTGAATTTATGTTAAGCAATGCTGTGTCCTCCCTCTTGCAGTGCCTGAAGCTCTTAGGGGCTGGACAGGAAGCAACAGGTTGAAACTGAACACTGGCAAGACTGAGTGGCTCTGGGTTTGAGGTTCTTTGGCCCAGGGAGAATTGCCATCTTTGGTCTTGGATGCCCCAAACAGATCCTGTGCATAAACTGGGGGATCTCCTGGATTTGTGTTTTCTGTTCAAAGAACAGGTGGCAGTCATGGCCAGGAGGGTCTTTGTGCAACTGCGCGTTGTGCACCAGTTATGTCCTTTCCTTGACTGACAATCCCTACTCATGGTCACTTATGCGCTAGTCACTTCCCGTCTTGACTATTGCAATGCACTCTACATGGGCTGTCTTTGAAGAGCATCCGGAAGCTCCAGTTGGTTTAGAATGCAGTGGCCCACATGGTTTTGTGCAGACCTCGGTGTGCAAATGTATCACCTCTCGTGTGGGAGCCACATTGGTTGCCAATTGTTTCTGGGTGCAATTCAAGGTTCTGGTTGTCTTCTTTAAAGCCCTTCATGGTTTAGTACCAGTTTATTTGAGGGACCAACTGTTGCCTGTCACATCTACCCACTAGAGCGGGGAGGCAAGGAATGTTGGATCCCATCCCCTAGGGAGATACACCTAGTGGGTCCCAGAAGAAGAGCCTTCTTCATGGTTGTTCCCTCTCTCTGAAATATCATTCTCCCAGAGATTAGACTGGCCCTGACTCTAACATTCTTTAGGAAGGCGCTGAAGACCTGGTTCTATCAGTGGGCCTGAGGAACCCAGAGCAGGATGGAACCCATTAAATGGCTTGTGTGATATGTTGTCACCAGGGTAGGGGGTGGAGGGCTATTTTATTATTTTATAATTTTCTTCTATTTGTTTTATTTTTTATTGTGTAAGCCGTTTTGAGTCTCCATGTGCGAATAGCTGGCACTATAAATTTAATAAATAAATAAATAAATAAATAAATAAATAAATAAATAAATAAATAAATAAACCGATAGAAAATCTGGAGTCCTGAGATCACATGAGACCCTTAATGACCTTCACAATCCTTGTTTAACCGGGACTGTTGTAACTGCTATTCCTAAGTAACATGGTCAAATGGTTTTACAACTTATGACCCCACTGCTTAACAACAGAACTTCCAGTTCCAATTAGCTTTGCTAAATAAGGACCATATAATTACCTTTATATGTGCAGCATCTACATTAAAAGGAGTTTTGGTGGTGCAGTGGACTAAAGTGCTGTTAAGTAGCACTTAGTGCCAGCTGCCTGCAATTACTGCAAGTTCAAATCTCACCAGGCTCAAGGTTGACTCAGCCTTCCATCCTTCCGAGGTAGGTAAAATGAGGACCCAGATTGTGGGGGCAATAAGCTGACTTTGTATAAAAAAGAACACCTCTTGGGGCGGGTGCGAAAGCCCTACTAAGCAGGTATATACAAAAGTATGAAGGCTATTGCTTAACGCATTGTAAGCCGCCTTGAGTCTCCGGAAAAGGGCGGCATATAAATCAAACCAATAAATCAAACCAATAAATCAAATAAATCAAATAAATCAAATAAATCAAATAAATCAAATAAATAAATAAATAAATGAAACACAACAGTCCCGGGTATTATGCTACATTTTGGAAAGCACCACCAGAAACCCAATGGGGCTCTGCTGTTAAGAAGTGACAAAATTCTGAACTCAGGAATTATGCATATTCCTGAGTTGTTGCAGAATTTTCTTTATTATCTTCCAGATTGATAAATGAATGACTTGTGTATGTATGCATTCAAATGCACAGAATTTAGGTAGCACTGACTAGAATTTTGAATTCGTGTGTTGATCTATTATACACATCCACAGAAAATTAGAATTATGTCAAAATGATGATATGTGTGTGGTGATGTCATGATGCATCCCAATTTGTAATCCATGTAAATTTCAGGTTTTCTATCATGATGTTATTATCCATTTTTTTACTTGCCTCCTCTCCATTTCCTATCCCACAGATGTTTAAAGGCTTAACACAATTCCTTCCTTCACTCCAATGTGCAGAAAACTGAGTTTCTTATTCCATCAATCTAATGCAGACTTTAAAGACTGCTGAATGCATGGCTGATTCCCAATTTTTTTTGGAGAAGGGTACTAATAATGTTGCTAAGGCCTTGATCCTATATCAGTCTGCAGTATAAACTGCAGAAGTGGAATGGACATATCAAACGGATACCAAGGAATTATTATGAATTCCTGCTTAGAAAATTTTTATAGAATACTATCTTCAAAGGGAATTGTCTTCTTAATGATGCATGAACTCAGTTTTCTAATACATTATTGGCCACTTGGTACTCTCAAAATTAGTTAGAACTACAACTTCCAGGATTTTCTATCTTTTGGGCAGGTTGATTAGGAATTCTGAGAACTGTAGTTGTAATACATTTGAGTAATACCAACACAGAAAAGGCTGATCTAACAGCCACAACCTATAAAATAATAAGATAGTGGTTAATAGTAAGATTTACAGGCAGTAGGACTACACAAAGCATTCAAGAAAGGCACTTCTGAAAATATAGTGGGGTGAATGAAGTGCTACTTGAAATGTTAAAGCAACCACATTATTTGAAAGCATGCAAGGTTCGTCTTAAGAATGTCCTGTTTAGCCTTATGCATGTGCATGCCTATCACAGCACTTTGCTACTGATTCTAGAAGAAATATTGCATACATAAAGATTGAGGAATTTGGAAAACATCCTTCAAAGCAAAAGTCAGGTGTATTAATGAATCAAAGATGATGCTTCATTCATGTCAACATGCTTTGCAAAGCATCTTATCTAAATGCTTTTAAATAGTCTCCACTACATTTGCACATTTTTAAAAAACTCAAGCCTGTCACCCCTTATATATTAACACTCAACATGGGATTGGAATTATACTATAACCACTGAACTTTTCCACCTACATAATTTCTCTGTTTACTAATAGTTGGGATACAAGTAGGTTAAAGAAACTAATCTGCAAGTCCAAATTGAAATATATGGTGTACATCTGTGTATATGTACCAAAACAACATTTTACCATAATATTTAATTTTGCTAATAGATAGAAAACTCTCCATGTCTGGGTTTACATGGCTGCAAAATTTGTGCTATCTATAATAGAAAACTATTCAATTATATTGATAGCTACAGTAGTCATATTTCCCTTTCTCTAAATCAGTTTTGGTATTGTTGTAGGTACCCATATTGAAAGAACACTGGACAGTGAAGATAATCATTAGAAACAAATCAAACATAGCACAGTCATGCATCTTTACAATTTTCAGACAACACAAAACATTATGAGACATACTATAAGCCAAATGTGAACATATAAATGTTAATTACTATTAAATTGAAAAACCAGTGTTAAGGTAGGATGGCATAAATAAAATGATAGCATCTCTTGCACATTTATGTCATGATTGCCACGTGTGTTTTGTGCTTTACCAATATATTAAAAATGGCATTTTCTTTGGGACATTTTAATAATATTTATTGACTCAGAATGTGTATAAAAAGATATTTGCCTTTTCTAATTTCAAGCTTTCAACCTTATACAGACATTATATCCACTACCTTTTATTGAGAAGAGCAATCAAGTAAAGTAATTATTTATTTAAAAGATTTTTACAGCTGCTCTTCCTATGCAGCACAACTCTGGCCAGCTTTCAAAAAACAATAACAATGGGAAAAATACAGCATAATCAGAAAAACTCCTTGTGCCCATCAAATGACACTTCCCAACACCTTAATAGTTACTTTCTTGTGACCCAGCATCACTCTACCTCAGTGTTTGTGATAAATACAGCTCTTTAAGATCTCTCGAAAGCTAGGAGGGTTGTGACCAATGAATTTCAGGATATTTTTAATTAATTGTAAAGGTAAATCACAATGAACTAAATTAGAATTCCAACCTTCTCAGATATAAAATAAAGATGTCTGAGTGAACTGGTAGATTATAAACAGTTTTTAGCATATTGGAATTGTATTTATACTTGCTATTCACAAAGAAGTTAACATTCTTTGTCCTAACATTTCAGCATGCAAATTCCTCATTTTTGATCCAAGGA